ATTAATTAATTAATTAATTAATTAATTAATTAACTAATTAATAGATAGATAGATAGATAGATAGATAGATAGATAGATAGATAAAAAAGATACATTCTTCAACTCTGGAGGTTTTTAAGAAGAGGCTGAGCAGCCACTTCTCAAGTGTGGGTTAATTGGTTTTCCTGCACACTGTATAGAGTTGGATTACATGATACTTGTGGATTCTTTCACAATTATATGATTATGATTTCAGAAAAATAGACATTTTTAAAAAAACGTGCTTCACATCGTATATATAAATATAATAACACATATAATTTTATATATTCAAAAAGAAAAAAAATAGTTGCATTGAATTCATTATTTCCAAACCTCTGTTTTTAAATACTATAGAAAAAGTAATCATAAACTTGTCTCTGTAAATTATTTTAACTCACCACTGGGGAATTTCTGAATCCTTTGATTGCTTGAAAGATGCCTCCACCGATGGCTCCCATTGTGAAAGCACCACCACAATCATCTACTATTCTCCAGGGGCTAAATATATATATAAATCTTGTAACTTGATCACAGCAAACAATTCCTCAGATACTTCAGCTTCAATGTATTATGTCCACTAGCTTGCTAACAAATACACACACACCCCAAAAAAATCAAAACAAAAAACAACAGACAGTATATGTTTCAAGGTATTTTTCATTTTGGACCCTCTGCTATAATCTTGAGGCTAGGTAACAAAACCTTTCAACATTATATGTTACATAAAAGATCGTGTCAGAAGGAAATCAACACAGAAATCATCTGAAAGGCCTAGGATTGCTGATTTTTAAAAAATCATAAGCATCAGCACACAGATAAACATGATGTGCAAAAGGAACACTGGGGTATCTGCCCTGTACCACTGCTGAGGGGAAGAGCATTGCAACATGCTCTAATAAAGGCCCATTTATATTTTTGGTTTACCAATGTATGATGATAGGAAACTTTATGGGAATTGATCAATAGTGCTGCACTGATCAGGTTGGTTAGCTACTGGGAATTGTACAGTAATTCTGCAGCACCTGAAGACCGCAGGCTCTCCTGCCTCCCGTAGAGCAGGGGTCTCCAACCTTGGCCACTTTAAGACTTGTGGACTTCAACTCCCAGAATTCCTGGCTGAGGAATTCTGGGAGTTGAAGTCCACAAGTCTTAAAGTGGCCACGGTTGGAGAGGATGGAGTAGAAATTGGACGGATGTTTACAGATGACCGGTTTACCAAACCGGCAAAGAGTCACCCAGGGCACATCCAATCGAAAGCCTCGCGCAGCCATTTCATTCCACGTGCCTTCTCTCAGCTAGAAGTCGCTTCTCGGTCAAAGGCCACCCTTGAAAGAAGCTGCCTCTTTGCCATTTTCAAAGGATCCCTTGCCGATCCACTTTCAAAGGAACCGCGCCGGCTCCAAGACGTCCCGTCCCGACTATACCCCGAGTCCTTTGCCTTCTATCAGGAACGAACAGCTGATTCACCCAATCCACATCCCCAAAGCGACCGGCCACACGCCGCGGCAGGAGAAAGGACAAGGGCGGCGGGGCTCAAGGACGGAGCTGGCTGCCGCTCGGGAGAAGAAGAGGGTGGGGGGGAAGCAGGCAGGGAGAGGCCGGAGCAACGGCCTCGGCCAGTGCTTACCAAGGCTCGCGCGCGTATTCCTCCATCTTCGTCCCGGTTTCCACACAGCGGCGTGACGCGCAGTCAGACGTTTTACCGGCTTGTGAATCAGGCGGCTTTCGGGCCCCGGCGACGCCAGGCGCAGCCATTGGCTGCCAAGCCTTGAAGGGGCCGGCTCAACTAACGAGGCTCGGTTCCGGAGCTGAGCGGCGCACGCACGTGTTGTCCTCCGATTGCACCGGGGACGCCAGGCCGAAGGGAAATTCAGGCGGAAAATTAGTTTGATTCCGGTGTGGGATCTCTATGCTATAAATGAGCGGACGGCGGGGGGGGGGGGGGGAGGGGGAGGGATTCCCCCAAAGTGGAGGGTTTTTTAGCATCAAAGCAAAAGAGTAACTCAAAGTGATCTGCGTTGATCGATTCAGTATACTCGATTCGATGGGTATTTTAAATGTTGACGATGGACGTGCTGAGGATAAAACGAAATGACAAAAAAGTCAAAGTTTTATCCGGAGTTTAAATGACGTCTCCCTACCATTTCCTGACTCTTTGGCTCACGTGTGAAGGGGTGAAGTCTCTTACTTTTAACTGCACAGTACTGTAGGTTCCTCTGAATGGCTTAGGATTGCTGCTAAGAAGAAAAAGAAAAGAAAATAAGATTATTGAGCTTTGTCAAAATCCAAGATATAAAAGGACGTGTGTGATTGATTAACTTCTGTACCATATGGATAATTGTGCAAACTCTGGGAGACTGGAAAATAGGGGAGACTGGCATACTATGGTGCTTTCAGTTGCGAAGCAACTACTTAGCAACTACATAACCTCCACCACACAGATAAAGATGTTGCACTAAACTAAAGGAACACTATGGTATATCTGCACTGTAACAGTGCAATGTATCTAACGAAGACCTTAAGATGGAAAAATTATAAAGCTGCAAATTCTTCCTCCTGTCTCTTTCTGCCCCTCTGCACACCCTTTCCCCCATATCTTTCTGCTGTCCCTGATCTCTGTCTATTTACACATGTGAATTGGACCAGCCTAAGACTACTAAACCCAAATATGGCCATGTTTCCATTTCAATGCTGTTGTAACTTTGAATGGTCACTAAATGAACTGTTGTAAATCAAGGACCACCTGTACTTGGTTATACAAGTTATATGTGAGACATATTGCATCTACCTTATTAATTAAGAATTTCCCCCTCTTCAGTCCAATTTAAATCCTTCATCAATCAAGCCACTTCGTGCATCTGATATAATGAGCTATAGCTCAAGAAGACCTATGCCTTTTAATAAAATAGTTGGAAATATTGCTTCCAGACTCCTGATGTTTTTGTCAGGAAAAGATACAAACTGTATCACTACATTTCCTTGTCATCATGTTGAACAACTACTAAATACTGAAACTAAAAGCAAAGTAACGATGCCACACCTCAAACACCTATCTAGTTCAACAAAAGTAAAGGACTGAAGGCCAGTGAGGCTTTTATTTATACAGTAACACAAAGTTGAAGTATTACACTATATTTACATTATATAATATTTTACATCTCATGTAATAATAGTGACTGTCAGCAGATGGAGTCATTGTTCATAAAAATTATGTTTAGGAAAGGTCTGAGGGGGATGGGAGAAAAACCTAGGTAAAAAAGGAATGTATTTTGACTTTGGCAATTATTAGATTGCACTAAAATTCACAGGGTTTGGTAATGTGCACTTTGAAAACACATTTTTAAATTGTGTAAGCATGCATCAATACAATGATAATTAATTAGATATGTTCATTCAATCATTTCTTAATGGCATAATCCAGTTTTGATTATATAAGCATTTTGGGAATTACATTTTTTATATTTTGGCATCAGTCTATTATTTCTTTCAAATATCATTAATACTGTAATAAATTATGATGCAAACCAACCATCCCCAAAGTGATATTCTCCAATATGCTATTGGCTAGCTCATTTTGAAGTTGAACAGATCTGAAAACAGTAACCTGGTTAAAATGTAATGCAAATATCAAACAATGAAGCAAGCATTAGCTTTTCAGCATCATTTCTAACATGAATGATAGCTGTTATAAAGCAGGCGAAAGAAGATGGAGAAGGTGAGTTGCAGAAAAAGCAGGACAAGAGGTACAAACCCTCCATATTCTTTGCATAATAAAATGTAGGAAATATTTGAGCCAGAATTCCCGAACCTGGAATGCTCACGAATGGAGTACTTGTTCAATACCTTGGTGGAATACCATTTTGTGAAAATAAATTTAAATAAATTTAAAACCTGACCATTTTCAATAATGCTATTGTGGCATTTAAGTGACTTTTTGAAATAAAAGCCAAGGAATAAAAACTTTCCACCAGTAGTTCCAGAACTACCATCCCTACTGTCCCTGTATTTTGCTACCGATGTAACATCTTCAAAGAACATTTCAGACAGGGACTGAAAGATCTAAACTGTTTTTACTGAAAATCCCCCAGATTAGAATAGAAGATACCAGAGGTGGTATTCAGCAGGTCCTGACCAGTTCTGGAGAACCAGTAGTGGAAATTTTGAGTAGTTCGGAGAACTGGCAAATACCAGCTCTGACTGGAGATTTTATAGTATCCTTTCCCTGCCACGCCCACCAAGCCGCGCACACAGAACCGGTGGTAACAATATTTGAATCCCATTACTGGAAGATACATCTTATACTCGGCTCTCCACTGACTAGCAGTTGTAGATAGGCAATCCAACTCTAAGCAAATGTATTTGAAAGAAAATCTGATGGGCTTTCTTTCTAGCTTTAAACTCATATTGATGAAGATTGTGGATTTGTTTAATGACCTATTCATCAGAAGTGTACTGTGTACTACAATAATAATTTTCTATTCATTTTGTATAAGATTCAAAAAAATATCAAATTGAAAACTATTTTCAATGGACAAATAGAAACTGAATCATTAAATTAAGAAAGCTTCAGGCATATTCTGATTTTACATATTATTATTGAGAGAAATGAAATAAGACACTGCATGCCACCAAGGAGATGCATTTGTTTGTAGATGTGTGAGCATTTGATATACATACTTAAAAAGATTTTGTTTTCATTTCTGCATCCACCCAGCAAGCCAGCACTTAGAGAATTTCGTTTTGCTTTTCTTTTTAGAAAATGTGCAAGTTTCTCTTTCATTGCCTTTAAAAATCTAAAAGTTCAAGACTAAATTTGGTCATGCAGCACTTCAAGATTCTCTGGAATGTCCTCAAGTTTCAAACTCCTCTGATAGATATCAGCTCCACCTCTTGTTTCGTATGATTGGCTTTCCTCTGCTTGGCTGAACTGTTGTCACTTTTCATTGGTCAGTTTCTCTACATCTGCATAGTCATTATAATCCAAGCTGTAAAGGGGGTTTTGTTTCTTACATATAACATTTCAACACCTCTACAGGACCAGAAAAAAGAACTTGGTTTTGCAGAAATCCCAACTGTTTTTTTTAAACTTGCTTTTTAATATATACACAAATACATATATACATATATAGAGTATATTCTTGCAACCTGCCAAGATGTCAAAAGTAGCAAAATACCGACGGCAAGTCAGTGAAGATCCAGATATTGACAACTTATTATCCACTTTGTCTGCAGAAGAGATGGAGGAGCTAGAAAAAGAACTGGATTCATCTGATACAGATGGGAGCATTCCAGTAGGCCACGAGCAGAGAGATAAAACTGACAAGCAATTGAGTGGCAAGTGCAATCGAGAGGAAACACTCAGCTACCGTGAAAAGGAGACCAAGAAATTTATTCCAAAGGAACAGTCAACGGATGTAAGTTGCTTTTTGGGAAAGGTGCATTAGTATAAGGGGAAGTGGAGTAATGCTAGCTGTAAACTATGGCTAGAATTATACAGTTTGCTAAGTTAAAACATCAGATTTTAGGGAGTTTTGCAATGTGTAAACCTAGTCGGAAAGTCAAAAGGAAAATATTACTTTTCCATAGTAAGATGCAACTCACATCCTGTTTTTCATAAACTTGATCAGTGTAATCAAGTTTATTAAGCTGCCTTAAGATATATATTTATTGCTTTTCATTGACACAAATATTATCCTAAAGTTTTGCTGAATAAAACAGTGAATGGGTTTACACTTCTTACTAAATCATGTTTGTTTATCATGTTTATTGAGTCAATCACAATGATTAAGTTCATTTACTGTGTAAAGTCAAAATGATACAACATTATTAACATGAGTAAATGCTATCACAGAGCAGTTTTTTAGTTTCTTGAACTTGGATATAATTGTCTCACTTAGGGAAGTGAAACTTGTTCCCCATTAGGTTGGGTTGAATCCCCAAAACTGTTTCTGGTTCTAGCTTTACAATATTGGGAGTCCAGTCTTAATGCTCTGTGGCTGTGTTGATTATATCTGAGAGTTTAGTTACTGCAAGAGATAAGATGGAGAAGGTCACCCCACATTTCCTGGATTTGTGAAAGTCATAATTTACTTTAATGATAAATTAAGTGAACAAGCTTAAGTAGACTGTGCCACAATGGTAAGCCTTAAAGTATGGTTTGGAAACCACAAAACTACCACTAGGTTCATTATGACTAGGTCAGAATCAAACAAATCACACTATGGATTGGTGGCATGAGTTAAACCAATGATTGGGATTTGTAAAAACATGGTTTACAGTTTAGCATGTTGGGCGTGCTAAATTTCCAAATGTCTATTCTGACATTTAATAAATTATTAATAAACAAATCCATTTTACTATTTTTGCCTTTTATAGCAGCTAACAGCAAAACACTATAAGGGATGTGTTTACATAGTATGCAAAGCCAAATTGTGTTTTGTTTGAAGTTTAGCATTTCATGTGAATTCCATTGTTTAAAAACTATGGGATAGAGTGATTATACCATTTCCAATCCTTTTAAAGTCTTGAAAAAAAAAGTGAGATAAGTACCCATGGGATTGTACAATATGTTTATTTATTATAGAATTATGGTTAACTAAATAGCTTGCATTTGCAGACCACCTGAACATAAGCTGTTACATGGTCTGGGTTCATGTCAATAGACAAATGCATTTTAGAGTAGTGGTTTGTTCAAACCCAGTCTATATATCATGCCACCTGACAAGGGATGGTGAGAGGTAAGCTCTTTGCTATGTTTATAAATGTGCCAAACCATATTTTGTTTACCTATGATAACTACATAAATCACAGTTGACTAAATTCTTTCAAAACATTTACCATACTGTAGCTTATTAACCATACATTTTTGACATAGCTTTTTATGCAAACCCAGGGTTTACATTATGTTCCTTGCGAGGTGAGGCTAGATCAATGGACTTTGTCTTGCCAGCAGCAACCACATTTGCTTGCTCAGCACTAAGTAGAAATGTAGATGGGGAGGAACTGAATCTATCCAGTACTAAAGAGATCCCTTGAGGAAAAAAAAGAACCTTAACTTGCAACAAGCAAGGCTGGTTCTGTCCATGAGCATAACGAAGCAGAGGCTTCACGTGGTGGATTAGGAACACAAGCCCAAATGGAACAAGTTAAAAAAAATATATCTAAGGGCAGCTTTTTTTTTGCTTGAGGCACAGAATAAAGGTAGTCCTTGATGTGACTGTTCAAAGTTACAACAGCACTGAAAAAATGACTTATGACCATTTTTCACACTTATGACAATTGCAGTATCCCGATGGACATGTGTTTACATTCGGATGCTTGGCAACTGGTTCATATTTATGTCAGTTGCAGTGTCCCAAGTTCATGTGATTAGTTTTTGTGACCTTCTGGCAAGCAAAGACAATGGGGAAGCCAGATTCACTTAACAACCATGTTTCTAATTTAACAGTGACACTGATTCACTTAACAAATGTGTCAAGAAAAGTTGTAAAATGGGGTAAAACTCACTTAACAAATTTCTGACATAGCAACATAAATTCTGGACTCAGTTGTGGTCCTAAGTTGAGGACTACCAGTATGTTGTCAATATATATATTCTGAGCTACAAACTTGCCAACCACGTGTTAATCTAACATAGTTTGAATTCATCCATGTGTTAATGATTCAGTATTCTTTATGATACCTATCAAACTGACCATAGCCTTAACAAGTTAGCCCCAACAGGAAAGGCTCATCAAATTAGACACATTTTAAATGTTGTACAGTCTTCTCTGGTGTGACTAGTACTGTATGAAATCAGATTAGCTGAATAAATCATGGTTGAGTTAACCAAGAGGGATCAATAGATGCATACACCAAATGATGAAAAAGAAGTGGCCTATATATTTTATCTCAGATGTAGATGTCTAAGTCCTGCAAAGTTCTGCCAGCTTGTCTTGCAAGTGGGTGAGTGGATGCAGTTGTCACTAAGTAAAATTTGGCACAGCAATAGGAAGAATAACTTCTCTGCAGATGGTATGGGTTCCCCTCCCCCACCCCAAGTGTGGTACAATAAATAACACTTGGTTGACTTCTTCCAAAAGCATATTAAAATCTCAGCATTTATCAGAAATACATTATGCAAAAATGATTTCCTTTATTTCTCTAAAATCTGCTGGAATGTTAATGTATTTTAGAAAGCTCATCTCCTTACAGCTCTATTTTACTTTGACTTATTGCCATGTTTGGATAATATGCTAAGTTACCATACTTGATGAAAGAGATCGTGCCTTCTTCCAGTTTCACTACACATCTTCCTATTCCCACAGCTATTTAACCGAAGGCAGAGGCTTACTGATGATTTGGTGCATTATGCAAATGTGAAGTAACAACTTTAGTTAGCAGGAAATGGGAAGATAATTTCAAATTCAGTTCTTGCTAACAACCTGTCCCAACTCAAGTGTTTATAGAGTGGATGGGGATTTGAAAAATATGCATGCCAGTTTATTTCATTTTGCTGGTTGATTGGAAAGAAGGCTAGGACAATAATAACAGAATTTAAGGTATTTCAGTAGAATGGTCTTTCTTGAAGATCATTGTTTCTGTCTCATTCTAGAGATCAGCAGGGAGCATCTTGAACTTGAAAGTTGGTGAAAACAGGAGGCAAAGCAGACCGTACATTTGCCTTTCAGAACTTGTAATTCGCTAAGCTGAACTGAAGCTATGTATGTTATGTGTTATGTATGCCATATATTATAGCTAGCAAGTGGCTTGATTTTTGCCATTTTGGGAAGCAGTGATAATAACATGTTTTTTAAGCTTTTAGTACTCAGAGGTTAGTGAATCGTCTTTGCTTTGGTGAGTCACACTCTTTGATTCTTACATAGGAAAGATCTCCAGAAAACTTCAGACTTGCACAGATTTATGGCATGTTTCTCTTTATTTCAATCTTATCTAGCCTGGTGACTTGGCATTAAGGATTTGGTGCCCCCAAAACATTTAGGGATCACCAACTAGGAATAGATTGCTTTATTTGTTAGTGAACGTTGTTCTCTGGAGCAGGACTTTTTAAATACTGTGCAAGAACACAAGTAGTTCAATCTGAATTTAAACATAGTGGCCAACAATTAGCTTCTGCTTAATGATTGAGGCAATGTAGAACCCTCTGACAAATTGAGAAAATGGACATCTCTGAACATCTTTTGATTAACAAATCCAAATAAATTACCTCATGTCATGTATTTTGTTTTTAACATTATACAATGGGTCAGAGTGTAACAAAATATATTGCTTTCTCAAGCTAAGATACAGATCTCTTTTATTAACATTTGCACATGTTAAAACACTGTTCAGTGTCAGGCCTCTTTGCTATCTTACTTACTCTGAAGTTCTGTTCTGTAATACTGAACTGTGGGAAACAAACTCTCCAGGGTAGTAAATCTGGTCTTTTAGATCACCTTACAGTAAAATGATATTGCTGAGCTGACTTCTCTTTCTATCTCTAGAGAGAAAGAGAAAAAATATCCTGTTCATTCGTTTTCTCTTCCTCGGGCTTGTTAGTAGCTGATGGATTAACACATCTGAAAACAGCAGTAGGAAGGCTACAAGGGCCAAGTTTGTTATAACACCACATAGCGCTGCACCATATGGGGAGAAAAAATCACTTGATCCCAGAAGTTCTCTATATTCTTCCATAAGGAAAGACTGATGCCTTTTCATTCTCATGTTTCATTATGTCGTTCCAGAATGTATAATGCAACTGACACTGTTAAGAGAATTGACATTCTATATAAGTAACTTTATTTGTTTGTTACCTTGTCTTCAGGAATTCAACAGAGCATATGCACTGTACTCTGCCCTCATATTTTTCCCTGTGACAGTATGACAACCGCCCTGTAAAATAGATTGGGCTGAGAAAAAGGTGACTACCCACACTGAGCTTCTGTGCTAAGTGTGGACTAGAATCTAAATCTTTCCATACCAATTCAACCCTTAACCTCTAGAATACTGGCTGCCATTTTTATAACAATTTTCTCAAGTCTGAGTGCTTTTCTATAAGATGCTACCAATTTGCTTACATAAGCTATGCAATCATATGATATTTGTGCAGATATTGTGCTTAAATTTAGCCATTTATTGCTGCAGTTACAAGACCTTGTGCAAATAGAGAATTTCTAAGCTGCAATTGTCTCAGCTGTGCAATGCTGGCTTTAATTAGATAGTTCAAATGGATCTTTGGAGGGAATATCTGACATACTTCATCTTCCAGCTCTTGCCAGCTTGCCAGAAACAGGAAACTAGATGCAAAACATGTAGCTTAGTATCCTTATTATATTTGTTTTTTGGGAGGTGGAAGGGATTTAATTTTCAGCATAAAATTGAGTGTATTCTCTTATTCTCAGGGGTGGGATTCTACAGATTCGCACCTATTTGCTAG